GGAAATTAATACCTGTTTACATCAGCTCGGATCTTGACTCAAGGTTGCAAAACAACAATGAAGTATGCATGTTAGGAGGAGCAGCAGTACCTTAAGGTCGTCTAGTTTTGGAGAGCCCAGCCTCCATCCCAGTAAAATCATGGTTCCCCGGATCACGGATAGCAATTTGGAAGCCTTACATTTTCACTTCTGTTATTTACCAATAAGGGATAAAGAATAATAGCGAAATCTTACTACTCTAAGGAAAGACACACAGGCTTAAAAGTGAGATTTTATTCATATTCGTTACTTATTCACAACTCAAAGTATGATAAAACTGATAAAAGCAGCCTAGAATAATGTTAGTTTACATCACTAAATTCAATTCACATTTTATTAATAAAATACCAAAATGAAAATGACAACATTGCAGGTTCAGAAAAACAGGTTGGCTACCAGGACTGAAAAATCTACACTATCTTAACTGGTCACAACTGATTGCTTGTTTGAAGTTTCTTATTTAAAATTAACACAAATTACAAAATTTCAGACACGCTCAACTTCTGTGCTCATAGAATATATCTTCGGTCGTATCAAATTTCAGTAGATTGGAAAGAATTTTCTGCTGAGATATTTCATTTCAGCATGGACTAAAAGAACGGTGAGAGCACTCTCCCCACCTACACAGCGGTGTAACGCTGCAGCCCAGCTGCACTTTCAGCCCACCCGTCCGAAGAATCACATGGCAAGTCACTGGTGCAAGCATGAACCATCTCTCATACACTGATGGAAACCACCGCCAGGCTACGGCCTAAAGTCTGTCCTCTCTGGTGGACACACAGACCTCGGACTCCAGGACACAAAATCAAGCAGACTTCAGCTCTGCATTTTAAGGCAAAGATAAAACCAGCTCCAACGGAAACAGAGATGAATTCCTTCAGCTGCCACCAATTAACAAGAGCTGTAGCTGCCCATCGTTATGCAGAGACTGATTGTACTTCAGGTGATAAATTTTAACACCAACACTGAGGCAGCACGTTACCGCCCTGCCACCACAGACTGAAAAATCATACACAGATTAAAGAGCAACGCAGTGGCCAAGAGTTCGCATGCAAATATCGTGTTAGACTGTTACACTCTCATGACTGTTACACTCTCATGACTGTAAACTGTTCATGGTGTAAACACAGGTTAGATAATTATCTTCCGTTTCTCTTTTTATTTTACATACTTTTTTTTTTTAAGAACAGACGGGGCCTCACAGAACAAAGGAGCTTTACCAAATTTTAGACCTGGAATTATGCAGACTTCAGTTACAAAGATTAAAACTGTAATCTGGTAAGGAAAGAACTCTTCCCCCACCATGAATACATTTTTAAAAGCCTCATTCGGCAAAGCAGCAATCTGACACTCAGTCCAGAAGACAGAACAAATAAAAACAAACAAAAATTTTAATACTGTACTGCAAAAAACAAAAAAAAGGAATTATTTTTAAAGAAAACAGAGACAGCCAAAGCAGACTGTATGGCAGCAACTGTTCCTAGGGAAGGAGAAGACGAGTGTATATATATGGCATAGTACCTAAACAGCCATTAAAACTGCTTTAACCGCCAATGTTTTATCAATGGGATGTACTGGGAAAGAAACACATTCAAAGTAATAGTAGTTTTGAGTAAACGTGCTACAGGAAACGGAAACAGCCATAACTATACACGTACAAATCAACAACAACAAAACTTATTTACAAACACTTATACCTACAGGCATAAAGACCAAGTTTAATACTTGTGAAATGTGTCTGATTGCTAGATCTGGACTGACAAGCGTTCCAGTCTTCAGTAACAGCAGAGCAACATTTCCACACTGCAAAAACCATATGGCTTCGATCGGGTCTCTCCTGAAGTCTCTGCATCTAGGTGATCTAGAAAACTGAAAAGTTCTACAGGTATTTTAATTTTCATTTGTAACACGGATGTGCATCCGCTACCTACCTGAGACACCCCAGCACTCCACCCAACAAGCAGTCAGCAACCTAGAGCTAGTACTGTTACAAACTTATCCAGTTTGCTCACAAAATGTTAATTTTGGATTACGTGATTCATTCTTCAAAGCACACGTTTCATCATCTGCTACATTTTTAAGAGAAGGACTATAGAAAATCAGTTCTGTATGCAAAACACAAAAGCCCAAAAGTGATTAAAATTAGATTAAGGTGGGCATAATCAGCAACTAATAAAAAGTTAAGTCATACTTATGGAACTCAACCCTTCACTCAGTGATATAGTTAACTGCCCTCAAAGACTAACAACCAGACCAATTCACAAGTACCTAAGTTGCTTACATATTAAAAGAATAAGATGTAAAGTCAAAAAAATATATTTTATCCCTTCAAGATCAGGAAAGTAAAAGAAAATGCTGGTTCTGTAACAGTGCAACAACTGCAGCATATTTTGCACGCAGCACATGACTTGCTACATTTAGTGGCACTTAAGTATTACGCAGTAAATACTGAAAGTAAGACAAGTTTCTGATCTGCATAAGCACAACCACATCATTATTATCAGAGACGCTAAGCTACGGCATTCTGAGTAGTACCAATTCCATTTTAGCACTGTGATCACTAGCCTGGATACATGTCAACGTCCTGCCTTACATCTCACTAAGAAAGCAATCACTGCAGCCAAGGATTTCACAAACTTGCCGCTTGCTTGGACCGGGCTCAATCTGACCAATCGTTCTCATCAAACTCTGAATCATCATCAGAATCGCTGTATTCCACAGCAATGCGTCTGGAAAGGATGGTTGCCACGTCATTGCCAACAGGCTCTCGCTTTGCTTCTTGCTCACGTTGCTCCTGCACCTTTTTCAGCTGAATTCCTGTAGAGACAATAACTCTCAGACAAAGTTTTCTGCACAGATTTTAAATTTCACATTGTTATTTGTGAGTTTTTTGTATTCTAACAATATATTCAGGAAGAAGAAAAAAAAAAAAGAAACCATTGAGTTCAAGAGCCTCCCTGAGCAAGGAAGAGAGAAAGACAAAAAAGGCAGACTGGAATCCATTCTCAGAGATTGAACGCTTCTAGCCTCTAAAACTGCCAATATGTTAAAACTAAACATTCAAGACTGTATAGGTCTTTTTGATCTGAAGATTAAAGTTTTCAGAATTGTATCTGGAAATGCTATTAGAGCTACGGTTCCCTTAAGCAAAGTCAGGAACAGTGACTAGTCATTGGTTAAAGATGAGTGGGCTGAAGCCTAGTGTTGGGTTACTCAGTTCTTCTGAAGAAAACCAAACATCCACGTACATCTACTGGCTACTTTGCAAAAGAACACAAACACTCTTTGCATTTGATTTTGTCCCCACAAACACTAGAACATATTCAATAAAGCTGCACATCTTGGAACATTAGGCTTCAGAGAAAGATCCGAAGTCAGGGCTGACAAATGTTAGAATAGGTGCGTGGTACTTGTGGTTAACTAGTCTCTCGACCTTCTGTCCCGTTGGGAACAGAAGCCACACGCTCAGATCACTGGAAAAAACAGTGCTTCCACTGAAAAAAAGGAATAGCTAAAACGCAGTGTCCACTTACCCATTCGAATGGCAGCAAGAAGGTCACTCCGTGCATCACTTATTGGTGGCTGTGCAGGTTCATGACGTTTTGCCTCCGTAGCTGGAGCAGCATGCATTGGAGAGGAAGAGAGGGATGAACCTGTAGCAGGAGGGCCTGGAGGGGGAGGAGGTGGGCCGGGAGGAGGAGGAGCAGTGACAACAAGCCCACTAGAAGGAGGAGGATGAGTAGCTGCGTATGTGGAGCCAGTCACCAGTCCAGGATGGGAAGGTGGCACGGGAAGCTGAAGGGGACTAACGAATGCAGTTTGTGCTGACGGAATCATAGGTGGGGGAGGAGGGGGGGGAGGACCTGTAGGATTGTAATAATCCACCATCTGAGCTGGAATCATCCTATATAAAACAGAACAAAAACATTTAAGGCATTGAAAATTAGGACTTACAGAATCATCACCCCTTAAACTGCTCTCATCCAACCTCAGCTAAAACAAAAATCAAAAGGATTTAAATAAAAAAGAATTTAAACTGGTGAGTTAAATCTGCAAGTGATTATAAACATATTAATTGTCAAATATTAATAATATATTAAGACTTAAGGCAGATGATGAAGTTAAAGGCAGCATCCTTTCAGCACTTCACAAAGTGAGATTTTTACCTTAATTCCCCTGCCTAGTTAAATGTAAAGCTGTATTTGTTACTAAACATCTACTCCGAGAGAATATTAAGTGCAATGCCTATGATGAAGGGACCAAGAAAACTGCAGACTATGTGCATCACTTCCATAGAAGATCAAGTGTTAGAACAAATATTAAGAGATAATGAAAGACATAAGCACGGAGGACAATAGAAAGTACGAATGGAAAGATTTACCCAAAGGTATATCATGCATCTCATGTGCTGCTTTAGTCAAATAACTTGACTAAATTGATACATTTGCTTGATATTTTAAAGAGGAGGAACAGGGAAGAGCTAATTCCTTTGTTAAAACGTCATTAAAATAATTCTTAAGCAGAAAAAAATGGGAATTAATGTAAGAGTTATGAAGTAGTAAAGAATCAGATATAGGAGACAGGAGCTGAAGGAAAGTTACTGATGACATTTAGTGATAAATGTCAATGTATGACAACTGTGATACACTGGCAATAGTCATGTACCTGGGGACTAAGCACAAGTATTTCTTTTATAAACTGGAAATAACAGAGAAAATGCAGGTTGGAGCAGTCAATCACAGCATAACTGAGTCATCTACAGCATGACACAGACATGAATCAGGCAAATGCTATCCCAGGATGCACCAAGTGAGGCTGGAAAACCTTGGCTTGCTTACTTTAAAATAACAAAGGCAAGAACAAATACAACTTTGCTGAGGTTACAACTTGAAAGTTTAGGCTATTTAAGCAAAAGAACAAGCAAGCACAGACTGGTTAGAAAACAGATATTTTCTTGCTATTGGAAAGCCAGTACTCTGGAGTCAGCCTTCCTTCAAAATGCATTCAGACAAAATATCTACACAGGAGTCTGATAAATTCATACACTGAATTATGGAGTTGTCTGTGCCAGTAGGGAACTTGATTCTGTGTCTGAGGAGATCCCTTCCAATTCTGTCATAAGCTCCTTTTAAAGTCATTTCAGGGATGCAACACAGGCTGCCACACTAATCGTATTCAGTGATATTTTTTCCGCACCCTTCCTGAAGTTTAAAAATATTTTATTTAAATTATGCTTTGACTATTTTCCACTTTAAAATATCTTCATTTTAATATTGTATTAGGAACACTTGATTTACAAGCATACTGATTTCACATTCAATACACAGTTCATTATTTCTGCTTTCACCATTTCTTCACCTAAATTCAGTTCATACATAGGAATTACACCGATCTTTTTCTATCCTCCCCAGGGAGATAATTAATATATTTGGGGTTCTTTTTGTGTGTATGCATTGTATGTTACGATGGTTATGCAAAACACGCATCCCTCTAGCTTTGTCAAGAATCCCCTGGAATAAATCAGGAGTTTTACCCATATTCTGCTGGTACCACAGGTACTGAGCTATGTTGGCCATCTGAAGGCTGGGGTGGAGGTGGAGGTGGCTGCTGAGGTCTGTTTAAAGTAGCATGTCGTACAGTGGTGGAAGGTGGTCTGTATTCATGCTCATGGCTTTGGGATGCTGCCATGTACTGTGGACCATCTCCTGTTCCATATGAAGGCATTGCTATCTGCTGATGGAGGGAATGATTCGGAGTAGCAGGATAAGAATAATCTGTAACATCAGATGCATGGGACCTAAAATTGAAGTAAATGGATGCAGAAGAACAGATTATGCGAGTGTAACAGGGCATTATCTAAATAGTTCACAAGAAAAGCCAAGAAGAATGCAATCAGAATTATTTTTCTTTCCACAGAACTCCCTGATTATCAAGCACCATTCCCTTGTAAGTCTGCAGAAAGCACAAGAACAAATGCAACAAAAAAATCACGGTTCAGCTTAAGACAACTTGAAAATAAATTAGTCTGCCAAATCAGCATAAAAGGGCTGAAATTGAATGTTTTCAATATTTCGGCATACTAGCTGCATGCAGAATGTCCTCCTATAATGCAGACGTTAAGAAAGGTAAAAAAAATTTAGAGCTTTCTCCAAATTTTAGTGTTCTTTAGTAGTCAGCAGGAGGCATATTGTTTCTGTCAATGATTTTGACAGCCCATTGTTTGAAATGATAACACTTATCAGGCCTGCCTTAAGTTAACAATGGCAGCAGGAAAAGGAAAGCAATACTGCAAGCATTCACAATTAGGCAGAAGAATGTATTTTTACCAAAGCAGAAAAAAATAATTCCTAAAGTTAGAAAACGCTTTTTGCTTTGTTTGCACAATTAATTTCGCTGGAAAGGCTTAGAGAAACTGGGAAAAGTAAATATTAGTTGAGCAGAGAGTTCATAAAGATACAAAGTCTAGGATGCTCTGTCAAATAAGTCCAAGAGAGGGAGCAAAAGGATCTCTTCATCCCATTACTGCAAATAGTTGTTTTAGTAATGAACAATCGTGCAGCCTGGCTTTTAGTGAACACAGCAAACTGATGCACTTATCTGTAAGACTGGAAGCAAGGTAAGCAACAAAAAGCCAGGGCTCTGAGTAAAACGAAATGACAAACCCTTTGGGCATTTTGTCCTCTTTCATGCTTCCTGCCTGTTCCATTTTCTTTGCGTCACTCATGAACTCAATGCCCATTTTCCTTCTCTCCCACTCTTCTTTTCTTGTTCTTACTTTTCTCACATTAATTTGCTGGTTTCTGTTTGGATTCAGCTTGTGTTTCTCTCTCTAAAGTAGGATAAGTATAACAAGTATAAATTGCCACAGCCCGGACACCAATGTTTAATGCGCAAGTCTTACAATTAGAAACATGAGCTTTTTTTTTTTTACCAAATTTAGCATTAAAAAAGAGTCGCGATATAGCTAAATACTTCTTTGGGACCTTATTTATAAAACGCTGCTCATGCGGTAGCTGTCAGCATAAAAATGCCCGTGAAATCAGTACTTATTTCTATATGCATATGGATTTTTATAGCTTAGTTCCTACTGCTAAGACTACCACAAGATAACAAACAGAAAGGCTTCTCTCCACCTCGCTACCACTCATAAAATTAACCCTTTCATGCGTGTAAACCACAGATTTTGGGATGTGATCCCTGATATTTGATTCCCTGAAATTTGAAGTTTTCCATGCATTATAAAATTTGAAAGGCTTATATAAGTAAAAGATATCTGTCATACCACAATATCTATATCCAACATAACGATGCATCCTACCATTTCAGTTTAAAAAAATCCTACAAATTGCAAACATTACAGATATCTGCAAACAGTCAAATACATGTGACACTGGTAGGAGATAAAAACCACTTCAGTATGATTATTTAAACTTGGGAATACCGGAAACAAGGTGTTAAGGCTAGAAAAAGACTCAAAAAATGCGTGAAACACAGAACTCATGATGAAAAAAATCCGTATCTTGCATTTGACAGCTGAACACCAGTGTCATTTTACCAGATCAACCTATGGAAAACACAGTCTTAATGAAACATTACAGACTGACAAACAGGAGACAAATTTTTGCATTAGAAACTGAAAAAAAAAGTGATTAAAGGATTTTAAACAGAGAGAGGGGATCTGAATATATTACTGAAACAGCAGTAGCCATTTTCTTTATATTAATTGTTTCAGTTACAAGATGATTACTCTTTGCCAAGACCAAAACATTACATATACAAAGTTCTGAGCAGATGATGCATATCTAATTAATTTAATTATTAATTTAATTAATTTAAATTAATTTAACTAATACACACTAAAGGTATCAGTCCACACTTTCACAGTGGTGGCTGCTTCCTCAACCTAGCCATTCAACAATTCCAACACTAAACCGTCACACGTTTTTTCCAGTAGATTCTATTTATTCCTAGCACTACTGCTAGCAATGAGGAAATAAGTGGGAAAGTCCTCTAGTGGGGACCAGGTTAGTGAAAAAACTCAGACTTCTGTGCACACCAGGAGAAGGTAACTCCCACTGAGCTCAAATGGAATCTCAGTCAACGAAGATGAATTCTGCTGCGTGTATCTAAGCAGAGGTTTCTGTTTTTTCAAGCAATAATGTTGCATCTGGTTTTGTAGCTCGCTTTTTAGACACATAGAACATCGATAAAGCTGAACTATTACCCCAGTAAAGCATTCTGCTAGAGGTGAAAGTATGCTCGAAGGAGTAGATTACAGAAAAATATTTACTAAGCTATCAGCAGCGAAACATACAACAAACTAGACACAAAGGAAGAGGTGCACTACGGTGCACAACATGACAACAAAATGCTCATGTGAAGCTGAGGAAGAAAAAAATCGTTACAGAATTTGTTATGTTATTTACGCTTTACAATAATTTTGAGGAGAACTTCAAAACATGCGTTGTATGTTTTGTCTATTCTAACTATTCCCCACCTGCAAAAGCATCTAATTCTACTCAGTATTTCTGAACACACAACTGCAGTATAACAAACAGCTTTGCTGTAAACAGACCTAGTATCTGGGGACAGTGATCCCTCGGAAGACGCTCCATGGTACACACTTTGAGACAACCTGTTGTCAGGTCTAAGCTCTTTGTCATATGCCATCATATTCCACTCCTGGCGTCTGTTCCTGGCTTTTCTAACCTTTTTCACCTCACGAGTGGTGCCATCTATACGCTTTTGCTCCTAATGTTCAAACAAAAGAAATACAGCATGCAAAGAGAGAAAAAAAAAGGAAAGGGAAAAAGCTGGTTAAAATGCAGTTAGAGCGCATGAAAATAAGACCAGATTTACAGATGAAGCCAAGTCTTCATAAAATTTCTCTGCACTGAAAATAAGAATATCTCCTTAAGCTATGAACCTCTCTAGTAGTAAAGACTGGTGCTTTACCCTTCTTCTGCAGGACGCACATGTCAGCGTGATAACGACCTACTGTTCTTCCCAATACAGAAATGTGACTGATTTTAAAAGTCAGAAAGTTTAACTTCTTCTGACATCATATGTCATTTATTTAGACCGTCCTGAAGTACCTGTTATTTCCTTCTCCTGCAAATCAATCTTATGAGAATATGTTAAATATGCCCAGGATTATTTTGGTTATTCATTAGCGTCACAATCAGATGAAACCTTCGGGAAATACGGAAAAATTAGAAATGCTTTCCTATTTCAGTCTATATGAAATAATTTTTTTATTTAACTTCCTCTCCCTTCTTAGATCTGATTACCAAAATTCATCCTACTTTTTCTTCACCATTGTTTCCCATTATCTTATATAAAAATGAATGACAATAATCCTTTCTGCAATGTGTCAGTAATATTCAGGCCAGTAATACATTACAGCTTGGTAGCTTCATGATCATAGAATCATAGAACAGCATAGGCTGGAAGGGACCTTAGAAATCCTCTAATCCAACCTCCCTGTCATGGGCAGGGACGCCTCTCAACTAGACCAGGCTACTCAAGGCTCCGTCCAACCTGGCCTTGAACACCTCCAGGGAGGGGGCATCCACAACTTCTCTGGCCAATCTATTCCAAAGTCTCACCACCCTCGTACTGAAGAATTTCTTCCTAAGATATAATCTAAATCTGTTCTCCTTCAACTTAAACCCATTTCCCCTTGTCCTATCAGTGGACACTCTTGTAAATAGTCCCTCCCCAGCCTTCCTGTAGGTTCCCTTCAGGTATTGGAAGGCAGCTATTAGGTGCACCCGAAGTCTTCTCTTTTCAAGGCTGAACAATCCCAGCTCCCGCAACCTGTCCTCGTAGCAGAGGTGCTCCAGCCCCTGGATCATCTTTGTGGTCCTCCTCTGAACACGCTCCAACAAATTTATATCTCTCTTATGGTGGGGACACTAAAATGCGTTAGTGAAGGAGAAATCTGATTTAAAAGCTGTGGACCTGATGATCTGCATCTGCTAACATTAAGAATGAATTCTGAAGTTCAACATCCAAATGTTCCAACACCACTTGCTCATTCCTGGCCCATGGAGCAAGTAGATTTTTGATCTGATTCATGTCAAGTAAAGATCATCACTTTGGTGCTTAATTATTTCCTATAAAATCTTTTCCCTCCCAAATCTTTTTAGAATCACATTCCAGGTTATGCAAGGCTTTACTTTCTCCTTCAACACCACTTCTTCACATCAAAATTACCCAATACAAGAATTCAAGCAGAACAGAGAAAGATTCAGTCATGCTTTATTTTAAAGTTTTTCTAACCGTCATGGCTGAATATATGCTTGTTAAAGGCTTTACATCTGTCCTTTTCATTTAATTGCTGCAAAATTTAATTTGTTTTAATTTGTGACTTTTATCCTGGTTCATTTATTAAGACTTTGTTGCTAAATCATGCTAGATTTGAGAGTAAGGAACAAGGTAAGCCTTTTGGTTAAATGAAATTATGCTTTAGTTTTCTCTTCTCACAGAATATTAACTCCATCCTTTAAGGGTCACAACTAAGTATTTCTTTCAAGTTTCTAGATAAATATCCAACTTTTGACTAATGTATGATGCTGCTCAGAAGAAAGGGTGGATGAACTGCTTAGGGATATGGTTTAATGGGGGATTAGGGACGGTTGGACTGGATGATCTCTAAGGTCTTTTCCAACCTAGAAATTCTATGAAAATCATCTTGATACAATTCCTGTACAATGAGGAATGCTTACATATAATCACCTATCTAAAAAGTTTGGTTTTAAAGAGATCACTATGTTTTTTATGAAAAAGGTAAACAGGTATGCATGTATAAATAAACAACATACAATAAACAGAGCTTAGTTTGTTTTGTTGGATCAGATTTCAGTTGGATAGGTTGTTCCAAACCAGCATCTGTGTAAGTGTGCTAATGAATAACTATGCTGGAATCCTTTTTACTCAAATAATACTAAACCCTACTGGTACTGATTTTTTGATTAAATATTATATAAATACACCTCTAAACCATTTCATATCTTCCAAAACAGTAGGGCAGGCTGATTACCAGCAGCTGGCAAAACTATACATAACTCTAACTACATGTGCCTCTAATAAAGTTGTTCCAGTAACACTTTCATTACCTCAACAAACAATGACAATAGCTCTAGTTTTAGTACTCAGTGCAATGACAACAGAGTTCTAGGGGAACTGAAGCCTTTCTAGTTAGAAATATTTCTTAGGAAAGTTTAAGCAATATTAAGAAGAGGTACTTCCTTTAACCGAGTGTAATAGAAGCTGTGGCAGCCAAGTGGATGCTGCAGGTTAAGCCAGAAAAACAGGTACATCATTCAGCTGTCGGCAGGAGAGATTTCAGCAAACACAACAAACATTAGAGCCCTCAAACAGGGTTAAGATAAAATTAAGTTTGATACTTGCATCAAGAGTTAGCAAATGATATTTCAAGCGTCTTGATAAAAAAATCAGAGCTAGTAATAGAAAGTTGCTTCAGCGAGAAAATGCAATACATTGAGAAAACTGGAAGCGTGAACCTAGAGTATTTTCCTGACTTCACAAATTTACAAGATCCTATCAATCACAAGTCATCAAAAATGATTTTTGAAATACAAGTCCTCCAAATTTTAAGATTTCTACTTATTTAAATAACTAATCATTCCTCAGAAAAAACGGGGAACGATAAAAAGCAAAGTAGAACAACTTTCCTTTGGTTAACCAACAGTTAACGACTGGTCTACTACAGTCAAGTCATTCAATTCAGAGTATTATGCAAAAAGTCAAAACTAACTTCATTGCACTCTTAGGCACTGATCTACTGAGAGTTTAACAGTAAAAAAAAAACCACACTCAGAGACTACGCCACAGATTTTAAAGAATTAAAATCAGTTTTCTTTGCAGAAAAAGTTCACCTGAAAGAGTCAAATCAGAGAAATTCTGTGTTAGATTTCTTCAGTTGAACTGAATACAGAAACAACAAATAAGTGTGATATTTGAAAGCAGGAAAATGAAACCCCTCACAAACGTTGCTGCAACAGCTCACGCACTTAAGGCAAATTACCAAAATAATATTGGAAAACTGATTCTCTGGTGCAAGGAGCACTCTCGGGCTTCACTGACCACCTGAAAAACTGAGGCTTTAAAAACCAGCTATATTTGGTCAGCTGAGTAGGACTGCATTTGGATGTCTAGTTTATAATTTACTAAACAATACACATTTATTTCACCTGCCCAGTTTCTCAACAATTTTCATATTTTGTACTTCTATGGAGTACAAATTGCAGAAGGAATTCTCACTTAGTAGATTCAGAACACAACTTCAACCTCAAAACTGTTAGTAGATGCTCTGGATTCATTCCTGGTCACTTAAGGACAAAACCAAAAAACAACAGTCTTGAACAACTTGTGGAACGAACGGTGCCCGTGAGATCTCATCCAAACCCTCCAGCTCTCTAAAGGTTCCAAAGCTCATTTGTGCACCAGCTTATGGAAAGCTAAAAATCAGATTTCTTCCTATCAAAGTGACACCTATCCACACAAGCTCAAATCCATGCTGCTAATTTCTTAGTTGGTCTTGTTATATATTTAACCAAATCAAATAGCACTTCAGGTAGAATTTGAAAAAGGGTATTCCTGTGATGTATGGCTATAATCCTATGTGACTGGAATTGAGCATATTTTACACCTGGTTTGTAGACTGTAATAAGACAATTAAAATCTACAAAAAATATATCATGGATGGAAATAAGTAAGATATGCTGCCTAAAATACAGTCTAAAAGTAAGTTAACATAAAAAGTGGTTTTGTAAAAATCTCTCTAAAGCTGTGAAAAAATTTCAAGTGATATTCAGGTATAAGTTTTTCTTAAAAATCTTTTGTATTTTTTCCTTTTTAATGTTAAATCAGAATGAAAAAACCAGCAGCTGACAGTTTCTTTTTATCCCTCTCTCTAGTAAAAAGATCTAAATCTGAAGGCAAAAAGGTGGGAGGAAAAAACCTAAAGGGTGCAATTATGCCTATATATTTTTCATAAAGAAATACTGAATGAAATTTAAAAAAAACTACTGGAAAACTATTTCCAGTCTTTTAATCAGCTCTGTGACTTATGATACTGAGCATATAGTGGGATTATAACCTTGCATATACATTTGTATACAATTATACAAATAACCACATAAATATTTTCCCATACATTGCTTTAGAAGCTTCTACTGAAAATATTTACTCAGTTTTTTCAGCTCTATTTAATATTTCAATACTGAGATACTTGCCGAAATGGAAGACATTTTTGACTCATCCTCCTACAGGAAGACCTGATTTATTTCTTCCAGAACTTTTAAAATCATGAATTCACTAAATGTTTTAGTTAAACCAAGTCCTCGTGTTTTGTTTGAAAATGTTGTCATCAGAAAGTTTTGTCTAGCAACAGGAACAAGGAATTAATAGAATTTTATAAAAACGGAATAGTAAAGTCTCCCAGCCATGCCCTACAATTTGACTTCTACACAGGTACCATATATATTAGCACATATCTACACGTTTTATACACATGATGTGTATACACAAATACACATTAGCATGTATATTCACGTATTAGACATTATGTATATATGCTGATATATTATGATACCTGCTTATAGACACATGTACAGGTATGCTAATATATGATATAGATGCATACACATGTGTATGCGTATATATGCATACGTGTACTGAAAACTAAGTAGCTTCCTTCTATTTCCTCTGAGTACTTTGTACAGCTTGTTTAGATTCCTTTTAGTTTAAATCCCTTATCTCTCACTGAACCTATCTAAAAGGGCACCTTCTGCCAGATAAGATAGGCAGTCATTGCTTCAAACTTCACTTTTTTTTTTCCAGAATTATCTTCAAAAATCTTAAAGTCCTCAGAACTGATAAAAAAATTGACCGCAAAGAAGCTGCAGAAGTAGCAACTAATTTCTTCATTCAAACTAAAATCCCTTAAGAAAATCTTGATTGCATCAGAATACACATCTTGGATCAAGCTGTTGAAGATATTCCAGAAGAACTGAAGACAGTTTTCTATGAAAAGGCCTTTTTTTATTGGCTTTGAACTTAGAGGAAACCAAGACTATTACTCCTAAAACTAATCTTCTCTTATTGCCGAATCACACATAATTTTGCTGCGTATTATCATCTTACTAACTTGTAAGAGGTGTAGAAAAGTGAAGAACTAGTATCAAGGAATTAAAAAACACAACAAAATATTTATTTCTGGATAAGCTCCTGTTTTGCTAAGGGAGTTGATGCTGCTGGGTAAAGAGCTATGAAAGTAAAGGAAACAATAATTCAAATTCCTTCCCCCGCCCTCCCCAAAATCACAGTGTCTTTTTCCGAAGGACAACAGGGCCATTTTGCTGAGTACTAATAAGCAGATACTGGCAAAGGATTAAAGAATGAATCTTGGAAGATAACTACAGTACTCCTAAAATTCAATTTGCCAACAACTTAAAATAGACAGTACGAGCTATAAAAACTGAACCAACTGAATCTACAGCCACGTAGAAAGAAGCATGTCTCTCCATGCTCACAAACTAAATGCAGCCTGGCAATTCTATGCCTGGACAACCGTACGCAAAATTGTGATACATACATTTGCTGTTATGTTTCTGCTTTTACCTTTTGTCTCCTCTTTTCTTTTCGCTTATCTTCAGTATCTTGCAACATTTTTTCTTTCCAAAGATCAAAAAAATAGGAAGGATCAGTATAGAACTTCAATCCGTCTTTCTTATCATCCCTGGAAATACAGAAGAAAAGCTAAGAAAATATGAATTAGTATTTTTCAAACCAACAAAATTTGCCTTTGATGATCATCCAAGCTTCATCTTTTTGCACTTAAGATGACAACATGCCAAGTGCATTAAATGCCACTCTTGGTAGTTACAGCTTACAATTGGCTTGATTCATGTCAAGAATTTCTTGGGAAAGAGGTGGCATCCACAGCCTTTTGGGAGGCACGTTCCCAGGCTACGTCTCATCAGAGCTCAGCAGGAGCTGACTAGACTCCTGTATCAGCCAGCTCGCTGGAGTGAAATTCACTGGTGCTGCAAGATCAGTACCAAGACAGGATGTGTGGGGAACAGAGGAGCATAAGAACGGAACTCAACTGTCTCAAAAGAACTGGAAAAGGAGTATTTGGCTCGATCCAGAGACGTCTTAAGATCTGAATTTAGGAACAAGGTAGGTCCGAGTACCTTCACCCTTATGACAGGAAGCACAAGACTATTGTCAGTGGGACTCTTCTAAGGAAAGGGCTAAGAAACGAGTGGCAACTGAAAGAATCCTGCCAGACTACTCTAGGAGGACTTGAGACAGAGCTGATCTGGACTTGCCAGCTCCAATTGCCAGCAGGAGCCAGGGACACTCAGACTAAGAAACCACAAAAAAGGTATGCTATCAAATCCTAATTTCATCCTATGGCCTGGAAATAGGGAATCTTCTAATACCCTAAATTCCTGGAAAGCAGCATATGACAGTGATCCCAGTCTAGCTTGCTAAACCGGTGTCCTTCAGAGTCCCTTTTGCCTGTGGGTCCTAATTTTTTCCTGGGAAAATTTTGATGGCAGCTGAATAATAATTTCTACCATCAAGCTCAAGAGCGATGGAGATCCAGCACACAGATGCAGCAGGGTACAGAGAGCAGATCTTGTATGCTTAGTCACATGGCCGTAAAACCCTTACTTTTTGTGTGCCAGATGTCCTCGCTACAAACCTCTAACCTACTGAAGTGGCACTGAGGCCACTCTCTCACCCCTCCAGCTTTGGTCAGACTACAATTTGAAGTTTATTTAAGCTTTGTCCAAGGCAAATACAAATAATTTAAATTCAGCAAATGTAAGAGACTTTTACCAAGAAATATAATTTAAGTAAATTTCACTAAAGTATCCCTAATAAAACAGAAATAAGAATAAAAGTCACTGACACAGTCATCCAGATACATATTTGGACATAGCTGTACAGAATAGCTGATCGATAACAACCCTTACTAACTGAATGCCTGCAAACAAACACCACCGTTGTCTGTAGCAGCAGCAAAAAACACATCCTTCAGCTATAAAATCCAACAATCTTACCTTCCAAGTAAAAGCTCTTAAAAATGAAATACACTGCAAATGCTCTGCTGTTATTCCTAAAAAAATTTCAAATAATTTACTGCAGATTGAGTGCCTCCTTTACACAGATACCTCACAATCTAGCACCTCTCAAAAGCTGAAGGACACAGTCGAAGCATGTTGTCCACAACCTCACAGACAAAGTATACTCATTTCATGAACAGCAATAAACTTAAAGGAAATAGATAAAGAAAACAGGAAACAAAGTCCTGCTTGCTGCTCTTTTATTCACCAGTAAGTAACCAGAAAAAGAAAAGGTAAAGATTGTGTGTGTGCATATGTGTGTATATGTTGAGAAGACAGAGAATAAAGGGAAGGCAAAAAAGCAGCAAATCCAGCTTTCTGAATAAATGAATCAAAAAAAGCAGTTTAGTACATAAATAATTTTCTCTTCATTTTTTACATAATCAGTGGCCCTTGCTCTCTGATCCTGTGCTGCCATGTAACACCTATGCTGAAATAAGTTGATTTTTGTCAGGTACGACTTATAATTTTAAGTGTGGTAATAGCAATTTTTGTTGCCATGAGCAGAGAAGTCCCCGAAAAAACACATCTCAATAACTCAATATCTCAATAATCTCAATATCTCAAATCTCCCCTTCTGTTGTAATTATTCTCTGCATGCAATTAGGAAATAAAGGGCAAAGTACAAGAACATAAACAATGAATATTTCCGTACCTATACGGCGAAAGAATATTCAGAGGTGGTGGTTTGTCACTCTGATTGTAAATATCAGCCACCGGGTTAGGAATGCTGTTCTTTGAAACTACCTGCTGATCTTGAATTGTTGAGCTCTTGAATGCTTTTTTCATGTTGATATCCTGTAACGATACTGTTAGAAACAAAAATACATTTATCACAGGTCTGAAATTAAGATAACTGGATAAACAAAATTCATTTTACACTAGCTATTTAAAAAAGCTTCAGCAAAATACAGAAGGAAAATGGAAAGATTTCTTCTTTAGTGGATAATCATGATATTTAAGCACAAAGGCATATAAGGATTACCATAATAAATCCGATTTAAGTCCCACTTGGTCCAGAACCTCACTTAAAATAACGGGACCATGGACTGTGTCTTGGAAGATGATGGAAGAATCTTGTCACATGCAGATGTCCAATGAGCTCCCCTTTTTATGAGCTTTAACCTGGACTTCTAACAGCAGAAAGACTGGCTTTAAGCCTGAAACACAAGGTCAGGTATTCCTCTGACACAGCATGTTTTATAATTACACACAGTATCCATACACGTTCAACCCCATTCTAAGTTTAATTAAATCATGGCCTCCACAATCTCCCATGAGAGAGAGTTCCACATCTTTTACCATCTTTCAGCTCCAAAATCTTTCCATATAATCAAGCATCCCTTGATCTTAAGTTCTCCTCATCTCTCCACAGAGAGAAATATTTGCCTTCTTAGTACAGTCCAGTAACATACTTTATTTTTTCACATACACAATACTAATCTTTTCATTCTTTCTTTTAAAATGAAAGATTTAAGTTACTTTTAATTGTTCCTGTCACTTTTGGCAAGACTTTCTTTCATTCTTAATATAAATTTTCCTTAGATGGAGTGACTTGCTAAAAAGATCCCGATAATGCCAATCACAAGTTAAAAGTGGCAGTAAACTCTCAAAAATCTTCCATTCTTAGGCAACCTGAAATACAGGTTTTTGACTGCAGTTGAACAGATTACCACAGTCTTCACTGGCTGTGTACAATGACACTAACCATTTGCTGAAATGATCCAACTGTTTTACAGCAGAGTAAGCTGTAAGAGTAGTGCATATAAAATGCACTGGCTTGATTTCTTTTTATTCTTTTTTTTAATTATTTTTATATTAGACATTTCATCTAATAGTTCTCGCCCATTCATCTAATTTATCGAGTCTTGAGAACAAACTGTAAGAATTTCACATGGTAACTGAACAGTACTGGGCAAAAATTTAATATATTGATGACCTACAAAACCAGAAAGACAGGAAGCTTGGTACAGACCCTGTAAGGTACACTGTTATCCTTTGTCATGATGGAAACCAAATCCCACTCAGACTCCTCTACCCAGCTATTTTTGTTATCTATGCTGAGGTCCTGCCTCTCACTCTAAGACTACCTAGATTCTTTCACAGCTTTTAAAACAGCAAAAAATTAGAAGTAGAATATTTAATTCCAAAGCATCATTCCCCCATCAACATAATCTGAAGTATCAAAACATCATTTTTGAGAAACTACTTTCTATTTAAACCTGCCTATAAGCACATCAGTAAGGTACTTCAGACTTTTTTTTCAGATGTATGTATCTGAATCGTTACATTCTTGTTTGGAAGAAGAGATTCAAAGAACACAAATCCCAGTTTTCTGGAGTTTTTTAGTGCAAGTTATTTATAAGCTTTTGAAAACTTCAATTATTCTAAAATGTTTTTTAAACTGTAGGATTAGTTTTATATATATACAATATTTTAATATATGCACTATGTATTAGTTATACCTAAGAATGTAAGAAATGACTGATACCATTAAATCTAAAGGGTTTTTAAATCAACCTAGCAATTGACATTTTACTTAAATGCCTAAGCTACCCAAAAATACATTTAGTATTGGTGACAATACAATGAATTATTATAAAGACTTCAACTTCTACAGTGAAATAGCTAATAAAATTTCCTACTGACACTAAAAACTGACAGTAATTTGTATATATAGCTTATTAATGTGAAAGACGATTAGCAATGCGAGAGCAGTAACTGCTGTCAATTTAAAATAAAAACTGATTAAATTCTCAGTCCATACGCTAGTTTCCTCTTCCAAGAGGCTGCTTTTAATTACTCTGCAAACTCTGGAAACTAGCCAGGAAGTATTGCACAATACAAATGAAACCTTAAAGAAGGAAACAAAAGCAAAAACAACCTCTGAAGATTGCATTTCCAAAAATGCTGGACTTGAATGTCATGAAGACTGACATCATCCTCCTCAGCACGGAGCAAGTCAGTGTATGAATACCATCTAGCTTGCCCATATCACTACAACATGCCTCAAAGCCTAAGCTGAATAGTGACTCCATAACAGCTTAGTTTATGTTCCCATATAGCTCTTGACCTCTAAAGACAGCAAAAGAAAGGTGCTAGTATCAGTTCTGATACTATGCCAGTTAACATGTTCCAAAACCAGAAAAAAAAAATCAGACATGTAATAATTTTCAGAAAGTAACATACTGAAAATGAAAGGCTAAATGTTACACTACTAAATATCAACAGTAACATTTAATATTAACATTAATAGCACTGTTTAATATAATATATACACTATACAAATAAACATTGAATACGATATATAAACTATATAAATAGTATTATTAAAATATCACTAGTAGCATTAGCTACTACTGAGTAAATATTACACTATTTTCCTGATGTAACAAGCTTTTACGTTTTACTAAATGTCAGAAATCATCTAAACAGGGAGTACATGCAGTGGCTTGCTCAGACATGTCACTGAACATGGAAGCAAACATGCACGTTACGGCTTTTAGAGCTAGAGAAACATGTTTTACTTATCCAAATAAGTGCTTTCAAACAATGTAATAATGTTACTCAAATCCTTTGTTTTTACTGTGCATTAATGAAGTGAATGACCAAACACGTAAGCAAGTGAGGTTGTAACAGCATTTTAAAGGAAATACTGTTCCTAGTAACTAGAAACCTTTAGAGAATTTCACCTAGCTGATCCAAACATGCAGTGCCTCATTTAGGTAAAGAGTACTAGTGTAAGATCCCAGATGACTGCAGAATAGACACTACTAAACCAGTTTGTGACCATCCAACCCTGAAATAAATAGATCTGTCTCAAACTTTTTTCAGTATTCTGACTTATTTCCAGTATTCTGACTTATTTCCAGTAAGGCCTAGATTTATTCCCTTCTGATTTATTACACTCACAAACCAAAAGTTTTTCCTGTGAAAAAGGCAGCTTTTAACGGCTCCATTGCAACAGAGGCTTCTTGAAGTAACACTAAGCCAAAAATGAAGACAGTTATATGACTTGAGAATATTTTTTCTTGCTCTGCTAACATGATTTTTCCCAGCTTGTCTTACTGAGAAAACAAGATGAAATATCGGTTCAGGATTACTTTGAACAGACAGAGATTGTTGTGTAATTATATACTGTGGTCTTGTCAACATCACTTCTGGCTCAATGCGTTCATGCAATTACCTACCCTCTTCTACTGTTGAATCCAGCTGAGTAACTTTGACAGCCAGGCGATCAATTCTGTCTTGAAGGGAATTTGCTCTGATGTAGAAGCTGTTGGCCTCATTAAACAATTCACCAAATATGTCTTCAGCATGTTTGCCTGTGTAAGAAAATAGACAGGGAAATCCCTTTGCTAAAGGCTTACAAAACACAAGACAAATGGCTTCAATATCATGACATTATAATAAAACGCAGTAGCTGTAGGATTATAACAGCGCAGTTTGTCATTCAGCAAAATTTTGTGCAACAGATTTGTACAAAAATCTCAAAATATACCATAAATGCTGCCTGAAGTCTGTTCTGCTGGACATCCTGGTTAGTCTTCTACTTAAAAAAAACAGGGAGACCTTCAAACTGCTATCCTTATGTAGCTGAACTACAGCTAGCTGACACATAACTGATCATTAAAACCTGCCTCTGTGATGAAAATAAAGGCTCAAAGTTACTACTGTCCATAAAATTTTGAAGTAAATTTTGAAATCTAAAATCTTGCAATCCACAGTTATTAAGATTTAATTATAAGCATGAGCCCAAGCCAACATCAAAAAGAAGGCAAAGTGAAACAGATGAAAACCAGGATCCTCATGCAAGGCAGCCCACTCACTTCTACAAGCGCTCACTGCATACACGTTGCTGCCACTGGAGTCATGTCAGTGGCTGGGTAAGATGGCACTGACCACACTTACCCATGGCCAGTCTGGAGCTGATGTAGCACAAAAGAGGAGCCTACAACCTTTAAGTTTCCCCTTCAGCTGCCATATTTTCTCAATCTCTACGAGAGTGGATAGTCCAGTTCAGATCTGCTGCCTCAGGCCCTACCCTAAAAGGGCAACAGTGAACAGGAGTGCCACGTGATAAACCCAATCCCCCTCTTGGTCCACAGATCCTTGTGCATGCCCATTCCTTTCCTAGACCTCCCACCTCCCAAAGTACTAAGCATCCCCATCCACAGTTTGACTCTCCTTCTGCACCAGTTCGAATGTCTCAACCACTCCGACCAGAATCCCCAATTTAACACTTCTCCTGCCCTAGAACTTCCCCCACAAATTTCAGATTCCACCCAAATTCATTGCTCCCACTCACTCAACCAACAGTACCACTCCTACTCATGTTTCAGTCCCTCCTACCCAGCTACTGCTGCTTCATTTATGGTCTCTCCCTCCACAATTTCTGCAACCAACAGCCCTCTCGAGATATTGACACTCTATCAGTTCTCCATGCAAAAAGCAAAATCCTGCCTCCTGCATTTAACCATGCTTTTTAAACAAAAATAAATCTTAAAACTCTACGTCTGATTTAAACTCATCTTGCTGGGTACTGTATCAAGACAAGTCTGAAGAGTAGAAACAGAGGAGAGGGGGAAAGTGAAACTTCATTTATCAGGTGGAACAATATGGAATATTTATTAACCACCTCAACAACAGTGACTTCCAAAAGCACAGCAGTTGTTGACATTTTAAGTTGCATCCTATAACCAACCTTAACATTTTACAAAGAAAAATACAGACAATGAAAATTTCAGTCCAGATCCCATCCTGTGAACATTTGGAAACAATAATTCAAAATAAGAAATAGCCACACTTAGGAAGTCAACAGGATTTGCACCTTTCTTGGATCATTTACTTGGGGGGAAGAGAACAACAACTCTAAAACAGTATCTGAAAACATTGTTTGTGAATTACAAATGAAAAAAATAAAAATTGATTTGATTGCCTCGCTTTGAGGGGATGACTTTACCAGTAACAGACTTCTTCACTAAACAAAAGAACAGCCAATGACTAACACAAAACGTTAAGATATTTTTGAGTATTCAAGCTCTGCTTTGCATGTATGTGGAAGGTGGACAGGCACGGTGTGCTGCCTACCTGCTCATAATCTCCTCCCCCTCCAAAACAGAACTTGCATAACCACAGAATTGTTGAGGCTGAAAGTTACCCTACTCCAGCTCTCTGCTCAAAGCACAACCAGATAGAGCAGGTTGCCCAAGACTGGGTCAAGTTGGGTTTTGAATACTTTCAAGGATGGAGGCTCCACAACTTCTCCAGGCAACTCACGCCAGTGTTCAACCACCTTCACACTAAAAGACTTCTCTAAGTGCTTCCCACCCAGCAGCTAGTTGAGATTCAATTATAATCCCCATTTGATTTAGTTGCTGCAAATGAAGAGGTTATTCCAAACTACGGAACAAATAAGTTTTTCAACTCTCCAGTCAAATAAAGCAGGTATTACATTCTTCAGCCACCAGTATTCAGAGCTCAAAACATCAATAAATTTTAACGGATGTTAGTTTATACTAATATATTGATATCAACCTGCTACGGAGGACTGCCACATTTTAGGATTAAACACATTACCCCTGTGGAAGTCAAGTAGACAGGTGCTTGTCAGTTATCTTTCAGGAGGCAAAATAAGTCACAAAGCTGATTTGTGGGAACATACTTCTTTTAATATTGAATTCTTTCTGTTTGGTTGGTTGGTTTTAAACACTTGTACTCTAAAACAAGTGAAAAATAGCTTGTCAATCTCCTGTCAGTAAAGAGAGTGACATGGTAAAGCAACATTGGAACATGCTATTCTGATTAACATGATGCAGCAAGTTTTAGAAATAAAGTAATACTTCTCTAGTGTTTTCTATGTTACCACCTTTTTAGTCACATTTTCAACAATATATATATATAAATAAGTAGAAAAAACTACCTGAAGTTACAAGCATGTATTTTTCAACTTAAGCGCTAATTTTGGTACTATAAGACAGTCATTTAAACACATGAGACAACTTAAATATTAAAAAAAACAAACCCACCACCAAAGGAATTATGCCATGTTTCCTTCTAAGGGTCCCTCCAACCACAGAAGTAGTTGAGGGGAAATTTAGTCATGATGGTGTCTCACCAAATCCCCACTTTCAATAGGTTTTAATGTCAATTAACAGAAGTGCCTCTCTCTAGCACTTCCACAGGTCGTCTTTATAGAGTTGTATATTTGATTGCTCACAAAATAAATCTCCAAGTATTGTGAGACATTTCTAGAGATCAGTATTTCACAAATAACTGAAATACCACCTCTACCCAAGATCTACAGTAATTACATGAAATATCATCTTGCCACATCAGTTTGTAACCTCTCTAGCAGAGACCAGGCACCATCTGAATTAATTAAAATTTATTTTCACATACTGCATAAAAAGGTGTGCATGAACACATTGAGTACGTTGCCCCAAAGGTATCTTTTGTCAGTAGTCAAAACACTCAAGTGTTGTAACAGAAGAGGAATTCAACAATGGTGCTGGCTTGTCTGAAGACCAGAAACCCAACAGTGTTTATTACTTTGGCTAGTTTCCTTTCATATATTTGAGTCTAAAAAGTACAGCTTCCCACTGAATTCCTTGTTCCACAGCACAAGTACATGGAAGAACACATTCAAGTTAACAGAAAGATTTACAGTGCATTAAAAGGGTTACATGTTCATGGTGTGAAAAGTTGTGTCAAAGAGAATAGGTAGAGCAATGTCATCACCCGGCATTCAGGTGTCAGGTCTACAAGACACTGGAAGAAAGATGACACTAGGGCTGCTTCAAAGGGAGTCAGCGCTGCACTAATGCTCTCCTCAGGGTCCTAGGTAAGGACTGAAACGTCCCATGGAACCAGCTGGTATTTTGTAAATTGGTATTCACCCAGGACATGACCATTTAATCACAACATGGAGCAGAAGACAGCGATTCCGCCCACTCTTCTCCTCACCCCTGCCCCCAACCTTTTTTTTTTTTAATAAGCAAAAGTGGCAGGTTGTTACTGACCAGGTCTCGATTCTTATCTGCCTCCTCATAATACCTCCAGCACAATACCTAATGCCAAACTTCCCAACTCAACCCGACTTAGCAGTGGTAAAGAGCAGAGTCACACAAAGGTGGATGCAGTGTCCTCAGGCCTGCATGCAAACTAGTGAAACTATAAGCCAGTGGCCAATCTACCCAAGAAAATACTAGGAGGCAAGTTGGTGGATATTGCTCATTACGTGAAAGAAAGTCTTCCAAGTCCCCACAGATCACATTCTTCGTTTTATGTTGTACAGCAAAAAAAGTTTGATATCACTTGCATATGGGCCAAAGAAAGCTCTGTACCCACGTACAAATGGTTTATATTAATGCAGAAATAAGATTTCAGCCTGACAGGTAGTATCTGAAATAATGGAGAAGCCAAAGATACAAAACAACAAAATACTTAAAGACTCACAGAAAGGAAAGAAGTTAAGTAGTGGTAATGCAACTTGAAACACAATGAGTATGTTAATGTACAGACTGAAATCTAATTAAGAAAAGTTCAATAAAGGAGTACATATACAGTTTTTAATATTTAGTCTCCAATGACAATCAGATGTATTTTATTTTTTCTTCCCTATACGGACACATACACAAAACTCAGGAAGAAAACCATGGTGCAATGGATCCTGTTGCAGAGAGCAGCTTTTTCACTGGCTAGAGTCCTGCAGCCATCAGTCCAAACTCCACTGCCAAAAGTAAGGGAGTATTTTGTGGAAGCTTTCATCAAAGCCTTTGCTCCATGACTGTGTTTACGAGGTAAAGCATCATGGTACTTACAGGTACAGGCTGCAAACGCTCCCAGACCTCCCCCCGCTAGACTCTCTCCTCCCAAGTGGAGGTGAATCCCCTAGCCAAGCTTTTGCCTTACATAAAAAGTGCAGAGTTTCATACAGAACGCTGCTCACTCCGCCTGTGCTCCAAGCCAGCTGGCTGCAAACAAACCCAAGTCTGAAGACATAACAGAAAAAACTCCACTGAGAGCACATTCTCTTTGGATAGGAACTTGTTTGTGTCTCCTGAAAAGAGCAGAGGCAGAAGCAAGCCCAATTTGTAGGCAACAGCATAGATCTGCCAGTTTTTAAAATCCACACTGAACTCCTAGTGCAACACTAGCAAACAGTGTGACTGCAAGACAGACCTGGACTTGCTCTCTCTAGGCCTCAAGCTGCGGGAACACCAACAAACACTGATGCTGTCAGCAGGACGTACCACATTCGCTTCAGCACAGCATTTTTCTATGATCATTTCCTTACTCCCAGTTGGCTTGAAACACAGGCAATACAAACGCTGTCTGCAGAAAAATCCCTCTGCAAACACGACAGATTTTAGACTGTGGACAAGCCTGGTGGTAGACTTCACTCTTTAAATACCACGTATTCATCCATTAAAACAAAGGACACATCATTTATTTGCATAGATCTTGAACTTGACACTAATAAAGTACTTTAGGGCTGTCTAAGGAGACTTCTGATGACCCAAGAAATCTGCTAAGGGAAAACCACAGGATATGGATTGTGTAAGTAGCCAGTTCCTCAGCAACAATCGTAAGAAGATCTGAATACACAATGTAACAGGCAGATTAGCCCCAAGATCAAATCAGGGGAAATGAAAGCTAGACATTCCTAGCACGTCAGACAAGTGAAAAGGGTATTGTCCACACTTTGGCAATCATTGTACAATAGAAAAATGAGGTCTTATTAGATATCCTTGAATGTAATTAGGAGACATCAGTCATTCTTCTCAATTTCATGAAACTTATGGATGTCAATACTGAGCAATTGCCTGATAAAACAGTAAATGAAACTCAATGACAATACAAACAAAATTAACTACAAATAAAATTAGACACTAAATCAGCAGATATTGCTCAAGAAAGATGAGAGTATCACTTGGAAACTTCTCTGAAACAGCAACTCAGTGTTTAGCAGCAATCAAAATTCTAACAATTGTTAGTTAATTAATGATTTAAAATAGAAAAAGACTGTTTTGATTACGATCTGAAGTCCTCAACACTCCACCTTAAAAAATCCAACATACTGTAACTTACATATCCAAAGCAGAAATATCAATGATCAGAAATACCAAAACATTCTATGATTCTGTGATTATATATTATATTAAGTGCCAATGTCCTGTATCATAATTTTGCTACTTAGAACAAGCCATCTTAAAGATTTTCATTTATTCAGTTGTTCATCAGGAATCAAATACTTGCAGGAAGTTACAGATACTTACTTAAGCTGCTTAGCTGGCGTATGATAGCAGCAAGGGTACTATTTGTTACACATTCCAGTTCACTAGTAATTCCCTCTGGCAGAGCTCCTCGGCAGAGATGCCGTGGTTCAATGTTCCTTTTCACCAAAGGCATGGCTCATAACCTGGAATTTACAGAAAATACATATTATATTTACAAAAATGAAATTAAGAACTATGAATCTGTGTAGCAGACATTTAGATTTTCCTACAAAATATACTTCACCTTCTTCTTTTAAAGCATTTGCTTCAGCTTTCCTGCTGTACGATGCCGTACAATTCCTACCAAGGCACTGGAGTCGTACACTCAAGCCAGAACTTGACAAGAGCACTGCCCAGTCTCTTGAGATAAGCCCAGAGGATACAGTCCATGTACATAATTACACCAAATCCAAGGCAAAAGGTCTAAGACTTATTGTCTACACAGACCTGCACGCCCGTACTAGAATCACTGGACTTAGTGCACATTTGCATTTACAAAAAACTGGCAGTCCTCACAGGAGTGACAGGAAAGATCACTGTCTGGAGCAAGCTGGCTTGTTGCCTTGGCAAGCTGGCCACCGATGGACTGTCCGTGCATTACTGCTCCCTGACTACGTCAGACACTGACCTACCCTTGTTCTGGCAGTTTTCAGGAGAAATTATAAACTCATGTGATAGGGACAGGCAAGGGTCTCACAGAAACAGGCTGGGTGAGAACGGGGAAGAAGCTGCAATGTGAGGAACGAGATGGCTTTCCACAGGTGATGCTGAATGACAATCTGAATGAGGTAAGAGCACATATTGAACAGATTTTTGGTAATGTGCCAGATGTGGGAAAACATTTATCTGAGAAAACAAAGGTGTCAGAACTGGTTTTCCAGAGAAAATAAAAAGAAACTAGAACAGGGAAAACAAATACAAAAAGAGATCTCAAAGCATCACGAAAAGGCACAATGGCATAGAAGCCACTATCTGCAAAGAGCAGCTTTGAGAGGAAGGATGCCCAACTGGGACAGAATTCCCTCAAAAGGAAGACAAGAACATACAATATAAAAAGTTCCTAAGCAGTTTTCTTTAAAATAGCTAATCAAATTGACTCGCAATTGTGTTAATGCCATTTTTAACACTGATAATTCAATGTCCATGCACTACTTAGGAATCATATTCTGTTTAAAGACCATGTTGCACTGAAATTTTCTGGAACGGGAAGATACAGTGTTACCAAGGACATAAGTTCATCTGGAAAAGACTTAACATTTCTTTTTTATTGCACTAAAGCAATTAAAGTAACCTTTCAATTTCTCTAATTAAAATCACATTAGTAAATTAAAAGACCTTTCTGCTTTTCAAATGCTGCATAGTAATTTTTGTAATGACTTTCCCCCAAAGGTTTAAAATATTTTCTTCTCAAGAACATTTCTAAAAAATTAACAACTTGTAAGCAATTAGCAAAAAGTAAACTATTTAACTGTAAGATTATTTCAGAATAGGCCATGAAGAAATAGGTTCATGACTTCTAAGCAGTAGCCTTGAATTCTATTTTACATCTTTCTTAATAAGAGAGCTTATTCAAATATGTCAGAATTTAAGGCCAGCTGCATTTGCTAAATTTTAAACAATGCATCAGAGGTAAGAGAGGAACGTATATTAGACCAAAAAGCCTCGTTTCTTTTCTGCGTTTTCATATTTCTCTACAAATAGATGCATTTAAAATATTACTTAATATCCAATGCAGTCAGATTTCTGAACTTTATCAAAAAGAGGTGAAAACTGGAAATTCACCAATTATTGTAGAGCAACACCTAGCAACATCGCCCTGCAAACAGGCTAGCACGTTGCAACAATGAAATAAAAGTCATTATGACGAATTATTTCCCTGTGCAGTTAAATCTTCATAAACATAACTAGTAAGAAGTAAATTCATAGGAGTATAGAATTAACGCTAAAGCAGCCAATTCCAAATCTTAACATTACTTCAACAGACAAGCTACAATTTTGGTTTTTCTCTGTAGCACTAATACTGTCAAACAAACTAAAGGCATAAAAACTCCCTACAACTATGACAACAAAATTCCTGAAGTATTGGTGGGTGATTAGACATCTCAGAATAGCCTTTCCTTGGAACTAATTTCCACGTGCAATTCATCAGTAAAACACTCTGTTGAACGAGCGAACCATTCTACTGGGTTTGGGGGTTTGTGGTGGCTGGTTTGCTTTTTTAAGAGAATTACCGGGAATATATTTTGCTACACATGTTCATACCTTCAATTTCATTTTTTAAACCAATCTTAAATTCTTACAGCAAAAGGCCAGAAGACAAGCAGAATAAAGCCTGGTTTCCATGGCTTTCTGTCTAGCATTCTCAGAGCTAGTCCCCCTCCTACCTTATGCAGTTTACCTGACTTTTCCCCACCACCCCACACAACATGCTGGGGCCAGTTGGAAGCTGGCTGCGCACTGCCTGGCTAATTGCCTACCACCTCTTGAAACACCCACCACACCGAGTATAATCAAAATGCCTTTCACCAGAAGTACTAATTTAAGTTCCTTCTCCACATCCTGTTCTTTCTCATTTATAAAAGCTAATTTGACGAAAACATACAACTGCAGTTGGAGTTTTTCATTGTCTCATCAATTCTTTATGAAATGGTCCACTGCGTTCAAAAGCTTGCAGTGGGGAGAGAGACTGACCCAAGACATCCCATTTCTTTAAGGAGCAGGGTAAAACACACAGCAGTGCTGAGAGCGGCGGAAAAAACAAGTTTCATTTGTGAAAGCATGACTTAAATTATGTACCCACCTCATTTCAGTGTGAAGTTTAATTCCAAAAGGTAAACTGAACACTGATGAGTAAATATATGCAATAGATTAAGCAATGCATTAACTGCTCCTGATCAGAGGAAAGAAAAAAAAAAAAGACTTGGAACTGCAATTATAAGTTTCTTATAATTTAAACCCTTCCACTATCTGAACTTACATGAAACATTTTTTTAAACTTCTGACTTAACCACCAGACAGCAAGTCACAGCTATCACTGTTTCAAAATTTTCTCTTTGTCTATTAGAAGCACATCTGTTCTTTACATTTATTTGCCATCTAAAATAAAAGCAAGATAACATATAGCCCATTAGCATGTAAAAAAAAGCTTAGTACTATGTGTATGGCACCAATCATTCTTACCCAGCTGGACTGAGTTGAGATAATGAACTAATTACTAATCAACTCAAGGTACCGATCCTGCCTACAAGAGGCAGGCCATTTCCTCCTGGCTGCGGAGGATGCAACAGCGTCCTTGGTGCCGCAGCCCAGGCTGGTGAGCAACAACTGGTGACCCTGATGTGATACATCCGTGAGACCCTGGGAAGCCCCGACTCCCTCGCCGAGCCAAAGGAGCCCGAGCCAAAAGAGCCGGGAGCTCGAGCGAGAGTCCTTCGGAGAAGAAGGTAAAGCCGCAAGCCCCGACGTGGTATTCGCAGGAGGGAAGCATGCTGGAGTTGGATGAATGGGCTGGGTCTCTGCTCACCCATAAAGCCTTTGTGAAAACAAAAAATGGTAAAACAAAAAGGGGGAATTATGGCACCAATCATTCTTACCCAGCTGGACTGAGTTGAGATAATGAACTAATTACTAATCAACTCAAGGTACCTATCCTGCCTACAAGAGGCAGGCCATTTCCTCCTGGCTGCGGAGGATGCAACAGCGTCCTTGGTGCCGCAGCCCAGGCTGGTGAGCAACACTATGTGTCCTTGCCACTAAAGCACTACCACCTTGTTCTTCACCACACACAACTCAAGTTAGACGAAATCAATCTCTTTTGAATAAAACTCATGAGAAGCGAGGCTAAAATTCCTCTGTGCCAGGGAAGGTTATGGAGCAGATCATCTTGAGTGCCATCACATGGCATGTATGGGACAACCAGGTGATCAGGCCCTGTCAGCATGGGTTTATGAAACGCACGTGCTGCTTGACTAACCTGATCTCCTTCTATGACAAGGTGACCCGCTTAGTGGATGAGGGAAAGGCTGTGGATGCTGTCTACCTAGACTTTAGTAAAGCCTTTGACACTGTTTCCCATAGCATTCTCCTGCAGAAACCGGCTGCTCATGGCTTGGACAGGCATGTACTTTGCTAGGTAAAAAACTGGCTGGATGGCCGGGTCCAAAGTGTTGTGAATGGAGTTAAATCCAGTTGGCTGCTGGTCACAAGTGGTGTTCCACAGGGCTCAGTACTGGGGGCCAGTTCTGTTTAATATCTTTATCAATGGTCTGGACAAGAAGATCAAGTACACCCTCAGTAAGTTTGCAGACGACACCAAGTTGGGTGGGAGTGTTGATTTGCTTGAGGGTAGGAAGGCTCTACAGAGGGATCTGGACAGGCTGGATCAATGGGCCAAGGCCAACTGGATGAGGTTTAACTAGGCCAAGTGCTGGATCCAGCACTTGGGCCACAACAACCCCATGCAACGATACACGCTTAGGGAAATATGGCTGAAAAGCTGCCTGACAGAAAAGGACCTAGGGATATTGTTCAATAGCTGGCTGAATATGAGCCAGCAGTGTGCCCAGGTGGACAAGAAGGCCAACAGCATCCTGGCTTGGATCAGCAATAGTGTGGCCCGCAGGAATAGAGAAGTAATTGTCCTCCTGTACTGACCACTGCTGAGGCTGCACCTCCAATACTGTGTTCGGTTTTGGGTCCCTCACTACAAGAAAGACATTGAGGTGCTGGAGCATGTCCAAAGAAGAGCTACGAAGGTGGTGAAGGGTCTGGAGCACAAGTCTTATGAGGAGTGGCTGAGAGAACTGGGGTTGTTTAGCCTGGAGAAAAGGAGGCTCAGGGAGACCTTATTGCTCTCTACAACTACCCGAAAGGATGCTGTAGTGAGGTGGGGAGTCAGTCTCTTCTCCCAGGTAACAAGCAATAAGGATAAGAAGAAATGGCCTCAAGTTAGCACTAGAAGAGTTCCTGATGGGATATTAGGAAAAATTTCTTCACTGAAAGGTTGTCAAGCATTGGAACAGGCTGCTCAGGGAAGTGGTTGAGTCACCACTCCTGGAGGTATTTCAAAGCTGTGTAAATGTGGCACTTAGAGACATAGTTTAATGGTGGACTTGGCAGTGTTAGGTTAATGGCTGGATTTGAT